CATGATGGTTAACAGGTGTGCATAGTTTGCATGAACCTCTTTGTAGGTCAGCTCCCGGAGCGGAGTATGAAAACTTCACGGCGAGCGACCTTGTATGGGCCAGGTAATAGGAGGATAACTGGCAAATTCATGATGCTGCCGCCTTTAAAGTTGTGACAAAGCAAAAGAAAAGACAAAGCTTCATTTAAAATTACAGGTTGTAATAAATTTTTTGTGATTTCTTTTACCCTTTTTTGAACGTATAATTTGCACCGCTTTGGTAGTCTTTGGCACTGACCACACCAAATGCAAATACATGAAAAAGTGATGTGGCCATTACAAAGATGGTCTCTACTTGTTTTTTGAGAATTGAAAGGTAGTTAATTATTTGCTTCAGCAGCCCGATGACCGCTAGATTTGGGTTGGCATGAATAGTGACATGTTCAGATAAATACTTTGAATGCTCTTGTGCATGGGTTGCAAAAACAAAACCACATACTTTGGAGATCATTTTTTTCCCAATAGGTGCAGCTACTTTTCATTATGGCTATGTGATATACAATAGAAGAAAAGAGTATTATAAATGAGAACTTGTTATTGAATAAAGTATAAACGCATCACCAAGCAACGCGCTGGTACCTGTAGTGTGATATGATACATATGTTGTTTATTTTATTGGGGATTTGTACATCTTTCTAAAATATATAAAGGCTGATAGGAGGACCGCTTTTGGAATTTTTCATTGGCATTACATGCGATTGATTGGACTGTGTTGCATCGGGTAAGTGGGAAACAAGACATGAGGAGCGGTTTTCTTTGCTTGCGTTGTGCTTGCAGTCTTGGTGGAAGAGGCAGAACCACCCGATGTAGAGCTTGCAGAGGATTTTGAAGAGTGCTTGAAGAAAGGCATGTTGCTTTGAAGTGAATAAAACTTGGCTTCGATGGATGGAATGCTATCTCAAAGGTAGATGGCTATAGCCATTATATAGTGTTCTTCATCCGCCAAGTGCGTAGTACGAGCGCCTATGCCAACAAGCTCGGCTACATTTTAATCGCCGCTGACAACTTGGCCCTTGGCATTGGCAACGCTTCATTGTGATACACACTGCCTGCCGTACCAGAATGACTCCGTACCAGTCAATTTGCGTAATAATGACCTTAATTACTCTCGCTAAGTCTATGGTCTGTTGGGATGAGCATGTAGCCTATATACCGATCTATGTGAGCTACTTGTTCTGTACGCTGAGGAATAGAATGTCTGTCTCATCACCTGTAAGCGTCAGCACAATATGGATCTAGAATGTATTTTCGATCTGATGCCAATTTGTTTATAATCAACAAAGACTGAAGCAGAGAGTATTGGACGATGTTTCAGGTGCGAGAGAGTCACGTCGCCAATGTACAAAAGACTTGCTTTATATTAGCAGCTGCGCGATTTCTCATCCAAATCCTTCAATAATGAGGCTGCAAACGATATAAACAATTCTCTCTACGTAAAACAAAAAAACTAATTTATTCAAGGATTGTTCTAAATGATGACAGATAGTTTACAAAGGATGGAAAAACTGAAAGGAAAGTGACAGACGACATTTGGACTTAGCTGAATTTCAACAATGGCGAACTGAATTTGATTGGCTGAGCTCAATAGACTGCTGTACTTTTTTCCTTCTCCAAACGGCACACAGGATTCCAAGTGGCATTTAACACAACATGGGTTACTACTATGCGTACTTGACTGGAATATCTGCCAGTGTTTTGACCGCCGTCGGTCTCTACCTTTTGCTAACTGGATCAGGCGAAGCGTTTAATGTCGGCCTCCTTCTGGAAACCGTATCACCTTACTCATGGGCATTAATTGGCATTGGCCTATGCATTGGCCTCTCCGTCACAGGAGCAGCTTGGTAAGATCAATCGAGCATACTACGAGTGCATGTAGTCCAATCAATGCAGAGAACAAGAAGCGACCCAACTTGTAATCTTGCCTGGACCCGTTCATGCACGGAACTTTCGCTTTACACGTCGATACTAATTGACGTTGCATCTCCGTTTGTTTTCGTAGGGGAATCTTCATAACAGGCTCATCTATTCTTGGTGCTGCTGTCAAGACGCCGCGAATTCAGTCAAGAAACTTGATTTCTATCATTTTTTGCGAAGTCGTGGCTATTTACGGTGTTATTATGGCCATCGTGTACTCGGCTAAACTCAATGACGTTGGCCCAGACATGCTCTTCACCGCCTCTAATATGTTTACCGGTGAGCAAAGCTACTCCGTAGTGTTAGTGCCGATATGAAAACGTTCTGCTAATGATTCAAACCCTGTTAGGACACGCGTTGTTTTTCGGTGGCCTCACTGTTGGCTTATGTAACTTGTTCTGTGGTGTCTGTGTTGGTATTACTGGATCCAGTGCAGCTCTTGCCGATGCACAAGATAGCCAGCTTTTCGTCAAGGTCCTTGTTGTTGAGATTTTTGGCTCAGTTTTGGGTCTCTTCGGTCTCATCGTTGGTCTTCTCGCGGTAAGTTTTTGGACTCCCATCATTCGCGTCTGTGAGGTTTGCAACTGACAAAATGAACCTCTTGTGTTTTCAGACTGGCAAAGCACTAGACTTCCAATGAAAACGTCCCTTTAACAGTTTACTAGAGCAAATTTGGTTCAGTTGTCCATACCAACATGTTTTTTCACTTGTTTATCATTTTTTTTATTTTCTTCTTTTGTCGTGTCGCGATCAGCTATCGCTCAAGACATACAACTCGTCCTATACACATTCGCACATAATGCGCTCTTACAACGTCAAAAATAAAGAAAGATGTTTAAAGAATGGTTGTCTATTGGGGTTTATGGAACACTATATTATTAATTTTTGGTTCTGCTCTTCAGCGATGACCCCATGTCTATGCTGAAGTGATTTCCTTTGTCTTGCTCTTGAGGATATCATCGATCTCCTTGACATGGCTGTCAGTGTATTTTTGAACCTAGGCCATGGCTGCGCGTCAGTATATGCAAATCAGGAAAATTTCAAAACAACCATTCCGTTTCTACTCTACCTGCTTCTCCATCTTCTTCACTTCATCTTCAGATAAACCAGCCTTCTGATCCTTCTTCAAATCCTTCATACCATCTTGTCTAACTGATCGAATGCGGGTTCTAGCTTGCTCTGCAGCCTTATTAGCGATTTTGACCATATTGTCGCGATGCTCCTTCGTTGGTTTTGGAATAGGCACTTTGAGGTTCTTTCCATCAGAAATAGGATTAAGATTCAAGCCAGCTTCCCGAATGGCCTTTTCCACTGGCGATAAATACTGGAATCAAGCAAGGTAATGTCAATCAGCCCGTCCTTTGTCTACTTGGTACTCGCAAGTATGCTTACATCTGGTTCGTGAAGTATAACAAGTAAAGTTTGCGGGTCTTTGACGGTGATTTGGGTTATATGGTGCAAAGGTACGTGTGATTGCTCGATGCTCACTGATACACCTTCCAAAAGAGCTGTTCCCAAACGAATTGATGAGTTTTACACATAATTTTTTAACGGAGGTTGGCCTGTTTTCTTACCTGGATTAGCTCGCCCGATTCTAATGCCGGCCAGATCCTTCTTGAGCCAATCTGACACTTGATTCATTTTCTTTACAATTTGTTGTTCATCGAACTTGAGCTCAATGTCCTCAGCCTTGGGACTGCTCTCGGGTTCGGCTTCCTCCTTTGCTGCTTTCTTTTGAGCTCCCTTGCCACCCTTGGCCTTCTTAGAGGCATACCATCGAACTGATTGGTGGTGGACGGCGGGAAGGTGCTGAGCGGCGGGTACAACAAACGAAGGAATGACCACAGCGGGCCGCAAGACTCTAGTCGCTGGCAAACAAGCTTGGCTTAATCGGGGGACTGTCCGAACGATCCGCATTGTTGTGGCGGCTGTGGAAAGCATGTCGGCAGTAAGTTGAACAAGATTCTCAACAAACGGGTATAAAATAAAAATCGGTTCAAATTTTATATATGATGTGGTGACTTGCGAAAAAAAAAATACATACAACATGAGATAAAAAAACATGTACAATGATGGGAGTAGTTGAAGCGGTATAATATAAGTAGATGCAGATGTTGTTACAAGTAGGGAGGAGAGACAGCCAAATAGGCCGAGGAGAGGGTATTTGCTTAACGGCGTTTCTTTTCTTCATAAGATTCGTGCTTGGCAGACGTTATTGACTTGACGGCTGCCATGGTATTTGCTTTCTCAGAGGAACCATTCTTGTCCCAGTTAGGTTGATCTACGATATCGTATTTGGACTTCCATATCCACGAGTTGCCCACAATACCGTTACCTTGTCGATCTGCCATCCTGTAGTACTTTGCGGCTTTGAAATTATCCTTTTTTACCCCTTGTCCGTGAGAATAACAAAAACCAAGGTCGTTTTGTGCATCGGGGTCACCAAGATTGCTTGCTATTTCGAAATAGTAGGCTGCAGTTGCAATATTTTTTGGCACCTAATGAAGTAACGAGCCTCGTTAATCAAATGACTCTTCCAACATGAGGCTAGAAAGCCAGCCTACTTACCCCCCAGCCGTGTTGAAAGCAAACGCCCAGTTCGTATATCGCCAATACCAACTCCTGCTTGGCTACTAACGTAGACTGTGCAATACCAGTTTGAAGGTCGTATACCGCACACTCTGCAGCTCGCTGAAGGTAACGGACAGCCATAGTCGGATTTGGTTTACATCCCTTATATATGCAATAAAAAAGTTATTAAATTAATTCTCCAAATAAAAATTTATGGGTTGACTGAATACTTACCCAGCCATGTCTCAAAGCAATACCATAGAAAAACAGACCCAGCGGATGGTCTCGTTCTGCAGCCATTCGCCAGTAATGCGTTGCTTTTTCCAACTTTCCGTTCTCATGACATGCTAATCCAAGCTGTAAAAATTCGTCAGCCTGAGGTGTTGTAGACCCATCATCTGGTTGCGGCGGAGGTGCATCTCGAGGCTCAGATGATTCAGGTTCCTCAGGCAACGAGTAATGTTTTTCATTTGCCGATGATATTGCCATGGCAACTCGGGTGCTCTTACGGCGTGGTGGCAAAACTAGCGAGCGACCCCGTCGCAAACTTGACCTTCGTTCTACTGAGGGGTTAGATGCAATGGCCGGTGTGGTAAGCGTATTATTTGCTTCTGTTATCAGCGTAGAAGCTGCATGTTGCTGTATGGGGGAAATATCCTTGGCGGACTGAAACATGGAGTACCTTTTCTGAGTTTTGGGGGATGCAAAATCAGATTCTACGAATCTCGACCGAGGAATGTTTGCAGATCGAGGTTGGTCAGTGGATTTTACATCCGCTGTGTTAATGGCGAGAGCAGGGCTTTTGGCTTTATGGTGGGTCTTCTCTGAGAAAGAAGGACGATTTTCGCTAGTGTCCTTTCCAAACAACGAAAAGCGCTTCCTCGAGCCATTTGCTTCTTGCTTTGAATGCAATGCTTGTTTTATACGGTTCATGATTTTGAAAGGAGAGATTACGAAGAAAAGCAAGAAAAGGGTGGGTGATGTACAAACTTATTGGATTTGGAATAGGTTTATTTTTATTTTTTTGATGGTCATGGCTTCCGGATTTAGAAATCTCCAATTTGTACCTTGACCACTCCAGCGCCACCTTTCACTACCTTGTCGAAAGCCTCGAGCGTATCCTCCAGCCTGAACTGGTGCGTGACTAAGCCATTCAGTGGAACTTTTCCTTGGCTAACCAGCTGAATAGCTTCTGGATAAGCATGGCAGTATCGGAAGTTGCCACGAACGTCGACTTCTCGAACACTCATGACTTCAGTTGGAAGCATAGCACTGCCCTTTCCTAAGCCAATGAGCATAACCACACCGCCACGACGGGCTGAGAACATAGCCATTTGGATACAAGTATCCACTCCGGTACATTCGTAGCAGACGTCAATGAGTTCTCTATCAAATGTGTTGTTCTGTACCATTTTCTCTATCAGCTCTTGAGACCAAGCGAGTAAATCCGGGGTATCCTTTGGAGGTAGAGGGAGTTGTACGGTTTGTATTTGTGGTAAATACTGCTTGGCAAAAGCTAGGCGATGTTCATTGATATCAAATATCGTTACTTGGCTTGCACCCTTGGCATAAACGGTAGCGGCTACCAGCAATCCGATTGGTCCAGCTCCAAATACCAGAGCGTTTGATCCCTGGGTTACAGGAGTTCGGCCCACTGAATGAACCGCAACTGCAAGAGGCTCTATCAGCGCTCCATCTTGATAAGTCATAGTTTCTGACATACTAAAAATGGGCCCCAAAGGGTCACATTAGCACCACCTCGCTTTTTTCAAATATTTGACAAAAAACATCTCAACTTACGGATGACAGAGGTGTTCTGGGTAACAAGCATAACGGCAAAGTGAGCCATGGTTTGGTCCGAGGATCAGTGATCCAGAGAAATGCATGTCGTAACACAAATTGTAACGACCCTCCTTACAGCGCTCGCACTTGTTACAGAATCTACCAGGTTCGAGAGCAACTTTGTCTCCAACTTTGATCTTCGTGACGCCTTCACCGACGGCTGTGACAATACCAGAAGATTCATGACCAAGGACCATAGGGTTCTTGGGATCTAAAACTCTTGGTCCAATCCGACCAGCATGGTAATAATGAATATCTGACCCACAGATGCCTGTTGCTCTAATATTGACTTGGACCTCTATGATGAAGTAGTATGCATTAGCATATAGGTTACACGGTTCATTCGATCATGCCATAGGATCTCTTACCTCCTTTCTTAGGTTCTTCAATCTCTCTGTTTTCCTGTTGACAAAGACAAATGTTAGGTTCATATTAAGGGAAAGCTCTCACGGACCACCCAGCATGAACGTCCCATAACCACTTACCAAGCGCAGATCCTTGGGTCCATATATGAAAGCTGATAGATTACCTTGAGCCATTGTTGTGTTGGATGGGGTGGTTTATTAAGTGGTTAAAGGTGAACGAAGGTGGCAACGGGAAATCTGAAGAACTTAAAAGCCATCGGGATAAAGAAATCGTCTTGGACTTTGACTGCTGTTTTCCTTTTTTGAGTTCAATCAATCCCCGCGTATAAAGTTTAGGTAGAAAATGGTACTTTTTCCAAATCCATCACTTTTACTCTTTCTTTCATGTCTTCATCTCATCTCGCTCTTTTTAGCCTGCACGGTAAAATTGCCGCAGTTAGCGGAGGAACCCGAGGTATTGGAAAAGCCATGGCCATCGCTCTTGCTGAAGCCGGTGCAGGTAAGGAGCTCATCACGCTATTTGAATGTATTCCTTAGCGGGCGGAGCGTTAATGCATTTATGTCATTCAAGACATTGCTCTCTTACAGCGTGATGTGGCCAATACTGAAGTCAGGGATGAAATCCGGGCTCTGGGAAGAAAGTGTGAGGTCTTGCATCTTGATATCGCAGACCATGAGTCGTGCACTAAGGCCATCCCTGCTGTTTTGGAAACGATGGGAGATATTGACATCTTGATCAATAACGCTGGTATTCAAAAGAGACACAAGTAAGTACATTTCATAACAACATCCATGGGAAACAAAAGTAGGGTTAAGATTATCTGACGCATATCCCTATCGTCTAGATCTGTCGATTTCCCTGATGAGGACTTTAACACCGTCTTGCAATGCAATCTCAAGTCAGTGTGGACTCTCAGCCAAGCTGCCGGTAGACATATGGTCCAGAAGCGATCGGGAAAGATCATCAATACCGCTTCTCTACTTAGCTTCCAAGGCGGTATCAACGTACCTGCTTATGCAGCCGCAAAAGGTGCTGTTGCCACCGTTATCAAGGCTCTGTCAAATGAGTGGGCGTCTCAGGGTGTCAACGTGAACGGTATCGCTCCAGGATACATTGATACGGATATGAACAGTGCTCTGATGCAAGACCAGACCCGCTACCGACAACTTCTAGAACGTATTCCCCAAGGCCGATTTGGAACCCCGGAAGACTTCAAGGGTGCTGTGGTATACCTTGCCAGTAACGCAAGCAATTACGTGAACGGAGAAATCCTTGTTGTTGATGGAGGCTGGATGGGTAAGTTCATGCTTTGTGGTTTATATTAGTGGTATCAGTACTAACTGTATTCTATCTATGCGCATAGGCCGATAAATATGCCCAATTCCATTAGGCGATCATCCCAATAAAATTAATATTAGCAGTCTCAGGCAGGCAGACAGACACGCATTTAAGTTCAATTGTGATTTTAACAACAGTTTTGCAATATGACATGATGATGAAAGAAAAGTAAGAGTGGTGAATGATGTGAGTGGTGATCAGACATCTTTATCTAGCGAGGAGCATACCCGTGATGTTGATTGTAATACGGTTGTTGTGGTGGTGTCATTGGGTTGTTGTTCCGGTAGTAGGAGGTGGGCATGCCATGTCGGCTCTCAACGTCCATGGTGGGCGAAACCGGTACGGCGATATGTCCGGTATGGCTTCCCATTGCAGCTAGGCGACTCTGTGCTTTTGGTGAACCGATAACGTTCATGTCATGACTGCTACTTGCCAAATACCAATAGGTGGTGACCAGCTCACGAGGGACCAGCCAACACATTTTATCGGTTGGATCGCCACCCATGAAGGCCGCACCTTGCACCAGCGTTTCCACGAGTTGGTCTATGTCGTATAGATCTTGAAACAAAATCATGCGATCTCTCATATAAGCTGTAGGGACGAGGTCTATGCGGGGATCATGTGTGACGGCGAGCTACAAAGAAAGGGCTGAGTCAGACCAAATAGCAAGTCCACTGCTGACAACTTCTTTTACCGATGGAGCTCCTTCTTTTCCCGTCCAAAAATTAAAAGTTCCCTTCCTTTCCCGCTACTTACCTGGAGAATAGTCGGTTGCATTCCGGTGGTAGATGTTTGAGTAGTCGTAAATAGTTCTTCCATGGCAAGTTTCATTTTAATATGCTGGATGGCTGCCAAATTGGCTTGACGCGGAGGTGTGGTGGAATCGGGAGCGGAGTTATATGTGTTCAAAGTGCTTGGCTGGTCTTCTTGTTTGACGGAAGGGACGTCGTTGGTTGGCCATGTAGGAGACTTGGTGCTATGCGAAAATGGAGACATAGAAGGGCTGGATTGTTCTTCGTCAATGTAGAGATCGTCTTTCATGGGAGGTTCTGGCTTTATCGGTTCATTTTCCCCTTTGGTGATACCAGAAGGTGAGGCAGCTTTTACATACGATTCAATAACTTCAGGAGGCAATACTTTGGCGATCTCACAGAGAGACTCTTCGTTTAGAAAAGGGCTGTGAGGCGGAATGACGACTTTGTTCTGCATGCAAACCAGCTGTAAGGTCAAGATCAAACCTTTCAGGTACCAGTTTTGAATTCGAAGCTGCTCAGCTTTCGATTTGTATGTATCCCGTTGACGAAGAGTTGCTCGGCGGTCGACTTTCAGCTTTTTCACCATCTCTTCTAATTCTTTAAGATGCCTTTCCTTGCGTTCACGAAAAGCTCTTTGAGCCTCTCGGTTTTGTGCCTTGCGAGCAGCCGCTGAGGTAGGCATGGGTTTTCTGCCAGGCTTCTTGCGCATAGTATAATCCTGCTCTTGATCCACCTCGATAGGGTCATCGTAGAATCCATTATGTTGTAGTAGGAGACTCATGGGATCCATAGCTTGATAACTCATGAATTGAATTGAAAACCGGGACAAGCGGGTAAAAACGTAAAAGACAGCTAGAAAGTCAAATTATATTTAGAGCTGAGTGGCGGGCAGAATGACATGTGAAAAAGCGCTGACAGTTTTATTACAATTGGCAAATTTTGTCAGATAATATCATATCAAGGCCTCCAGACCTTGCTCTTTAAACCATTCTATTGTTTCCTCTAATCCCTGCTGAACAGAGAATGCAGGCTGCCATCCAAGGTAGGTTGTAGCGCGGGTAACATCCGGCTTGCGTTTCTTTGGATCGTCCATGGTTGCTGGTAAGTGCTTGATAGGCGTATCGGGACTGACACGATCCCGTATCATCTCTGCAAACTCCTGTATTGAGTACTCTTCTGGATTTCCCAAATTGACTGGCTCTGTAAAGTTTTTGTTCATCAACAAGATAAGCCCATCAATCAAGTCGTGGATATATTGGAACGATCGAGTTTGAGTTCCATCACCGTAAATTGTCAGTTGTTCGCCTTTCAAAGCTTGTATGATGAAGTTGCTGACAACTCTTCCATCGGCGGGTGACATTCTGGGACCTGTGAAAATAAAATATTTCCCGTTAATAACGTGGCTGGCTGGAAGAAAAAATTTGCGCGTGGAAAATGGAGATCTACGGTATCCGTGCTGCGAATTTTTTTACATACCAAAGGTGCTAATCATAGACAAGTAATAATGTAGTACAATCATATCCGTAATTGTAAATGGGCGAGCGAGCGATGTACATAATCATTAGCAATCAGTAATTACTTCGTTATCAAGGCTCAAAGTCCCACACTCACTTGAAAATACGCGCCACTCGTACATCAACGTCGTTTTGTCGCATATAAGAATAGGTAAGCGTTTCAGCAATACGTTTGCCTTCGTCGTAGCAGGCACGTGGTCCAATGGGATTTACATGGCCCCAGTAAGTTTCTTTTTGAGGGTGTTCTTCTGGATCGCCATAAACCTCTAAGAACATGCTTTCACGTGAATACGATGTACGGTGCACGGCTGCTGAATTGAGAATGAATTTTTTTTTTTTTTTTTTACCTGATGTAGAGGTTAATAAAAACCGAGCCTTTGTTCGCTTTGCGAGACCCAGCATGTTGATTGTACCCATTACACTTGTCTTGACCGTCTTGGTAGGGTTATACTGATAGTGCGGTGGTGAAGCGGGACACGCTAAGTGGTATATTTGGTTGACCTCTATCATGAAGGGGTCGACGACATCATGACGAACGAGGTCAAAGTGTGGATGACCTATCCAGTGTTGTACATTTGTTTTCGTGCCTGTGAAAAAGTTGTCCATGACAATAACTTCATGTCCCATCAACATAAGTCTGTCCACAAGATGTGAACCAACAAATCCAGCTCCACCTGTGACTAGAATCCTAAGCCGTTCTGACTGACGGAGCATACGCACGGGTAGAAAGCTTTTTGCATGAAGGTAAGAGACAGTTCCATCACTATGAACGATGCGGTCTGATGGATCTTTAGGCAGATACAAATCTCGAAGCGTCTCCAGTTCGACGTTGGAGTGCACTGGCTCGTGTCCCACCTTTGTAACTCGACGCTTGGAATTACGGGCTCCTTGTGCATTAGTACTGGTCTGAGCTTCACCTTGCTCATTTTTGTCAGAAGCATTTTGAGCAGGCGTTTCCCCTCCTTCCACACGCTGGGTTGCTTCACGTAGAGAGCCGGTTTGTTCAGTCATCTTGTGCAATTGCTGACTAGTTTCTGAGAAAGAACCCATGTTAATCTCAAAGAATTACCCCTCACATAATTTTAATGGCGGCGATATCGTAAGCCACACAAACCTCACAATGATGCGGGGGTCCCTTAACAAAATAACCCATACATGTCCATAGGATGAGTTATATTTATACATACAAGTACAGGGCTGTCGTCATCCCTGGTTTCGATTTATATAGCCTCGCTTATCGAAAGTAACAAAATGTCTACTTACAAGTGCATAAGGCACTTTGAAAACTGTGAACATATTTTCATTGTCAACAAATGCTCTGTTTGCCACTTGGTTGGCTTGCTACATATGAGAATCCTTGTTCCAAGTCTTCAAGACCACGCTTGTACAATCTCTGCCTCCATTATCTGTGAAATAAAAAGACTTTGGTACCCATAATAATATACGATCACTTTTGACGCTATACACGTGCCAGCAAGCAAAAAAATGAGCTGACAGGGATTTCAGGGCCTAACAGAATGCTTCAGGGAAACACGCTTGATTTTTCTCTGCAAGCTTTTGACAACTATCAAAATAGCGTAATGGTTTAGCCGTGTATTCATACTGCTAATGTACTTTTCAAAATGCAATCCACTCTCCATAACCTTGATATGAAAAGAAAAGAAATGAACCCAACCAATGAAAACTTTCGGTTTTGGGAAGTGGTACAAAATGCCACCCATCCATAGGAGCATTCCATGTCCAGCATTCTTTTTATCCACCAAGAAAATCAATGCTACCATTTCCTGCTCTTTATTCAGCAATGCGGGACTTTTTGCAATAGCCATTTTAAAATGTGTCCCTAAAATTAGGAAGTGGCCACCACAAGGGATGGCAGTGACAAAGTCAACCAACCCACTTAAAAAAAGCCATCGGAGAAAATTCATACAATCGTTAAAAGTTTGTCATTACCAGTAAAATTCAGACAAAGACATAGCGTAGTCTGTTCTCTTTTACACTTTGAGAACCAACTTGCAGCTTATTAGAAATGAAAGTCAGCCCAATGACCAGGATCGATACACCCATGAAGGCCAGCCATATCGATGGCCCAGCCAGTCCCATTATCCTTGGCTTAAGACATGATCGCAATTATCTTCGCAGATCATGCATCTCACAAAACTCCCAGAGACGAAGCCAAAGTCACTTCTTTTCTGCGTCTTTGTTCCGACAAGAACCAAAAGACTACACCTCGGTTATTTCTAAAGACGACGATAGTAGCATTGCTTACACTGGTAGCATTGCCGAAAGCGATGACGCCGCTGGTTCAACCACAGTCAGTAAGCACAACAAGCTGGATGCCCAAGTTTACTTTCGCAGCCCTTACACTGTAGCCGGTGCAACCGTCGATGGATTTATTGACCTGAAATGCATGGTCGATGGACAGGTCAGAATCGGTCGAATCTGTGTAGAGCTTGTTGGGTATGAAGGTAAGCGAAGCAAGTTACCTGCCAGATGATATTGAGATAAAATTTGCTGATAATGATGGTTTGACCATTTTACCTTTTATTCCCGAGTAGAAGTCAACGATCGCGCAAAGGTCAACACAGAGGAAGCAACCTACAACCATGAATTTCTTCATCAAGTTCAGAAACTGCAGGATCCCAGCGATCCATATCCTATTTGCGACTTGATGAATAGAGCGAACACGGACAATGAATTCTGGTTGATGGAGAAAGGCCGCGTCGCTCTTCCGTTTAGCATTACTCTTCCGGCAGATGTTGGCTCCTCGTTTACAGACAAGGCAGGAAGCGTTAAATACGTCGTAGCGGCTAATGTTGAATTCATCACCAACGCTAGAGTCAGAACACTCTGTATCCAGAAACAATTGAAGGTTCACCAAAACCTCAACCCTCTCCCTGAAGATCTGGAATCTTTGCAAAAGACTACTATTGTCGAGCGTGCTTCAGGAAAGGTTTTCATGGGAGGTAATGGCTTGCTATCATGCGAAGCTCGGATAGCCAAAGCGGTTTGGACGGCAGGTACGCCAATCTCTGTGACCGTCCGTGTTCGAAATGCAACTTCCAAAAAAGTCAGCAATGTCAAATTGGCTCTAATTCGCCGCATCAAGACCTTTTGTCTGGACAAAGGTCCTTCCTTGTCTTCTTACAAAAATGATGAATCCGGAGTCAATAACTTATCGCCTGTCTCCTTGATTCGACAAGTCATTGCCGAGGCCTCAATGTCCAAAGAGTCGTGGTGGAATGGCATCATTCGCGATTCCGAGAGCGAATTCATGACGGACATTACCATTCCTTCCGATGAACATACACTACGAAACCGTACTATTGTTCAGATATCCCACGTCTTACAAGTAACCTTATCCACTTCATTGACGTAAGTAAAGCTCTTGATATTTTCAAGGATGTTTTGAAAATATCGTTGATCATCAAACTTTATCTGAACGGCTTCAATTTCTTTAGTAGCGAGGTATCTTTAGAGTTACCGCTGGTCATTCTTCATCCTGTGTCCCTGGAGCCACCACCGCAACTCTTTATGCAATCTTCTTTGGCAGCGCGTGCACCTATTGGCCTTAGCGCATTGACACGTTTGGCTGCATCCATGACTTGCGATACTTCCGTACAGACAGGCAAAGAAGATACTGCCGAGTTGTCCGCTTCAGCATCTTCCACAGCTACATCGCCTATGGTTGCATCACCAAGATCGGTGGAGAATGTGGATGGCAAGGCTAAAGGGCCTGCTACAATTGTTGTTGACGGTAATGGTGAACCACATTTTACTGACCTCAGCTGGGCTGCTAACGCCGTCAATAATGCTGGTAATGCAACAGCCGCACGTTGATTACCCTCACTTCTGATCTATTATACTCCTCATCTCCTGCGTCATTAGACATTGGAAAAGTAATACCCATTTTTTCCGTATTAGTGCAATTAAAATAAATCAATCAATAAATAAATAAATAAAAAACAAAAGAGCCCAAACATACATTAAGTGATTTTATTATACATGTTACCAATTGTGCATTTCATAGCCAACACTTTGATCGCGTTCATTGACTAGCAACGCAATGATATGGCTGTCAGTGTTTAAGTTAAATTCATTCACATTAGCAGAGTTAATTTCAGAGTAGCCAGAAGACTTGACAGTTGCGTAAGTACCCCATACGAAATCACTCGAATACCAGTCTCGCGTGAATGTAATGACTCGCAACCTCGTTCCGCGAAACAGGTCCACCAATTGTTCCAGTACTTTCATAGGTGTATGTTCCGGTATCTTGTTAATGGTAAGATGTACTAAAGGTGCCTTAAAATCTTTAAACACACCAATATTGTCTTTGACCATTTGCCATGAAATAGTCAATGACTGCAAAGCCTGACATTCGGAAGCAATCAGCTTCATGGTGGTCATTGGGTCTTTGTGGCCTTTGCAACCATAAAGGTGCAAAAGCTTTAGGTTTCTTGACGTATTCTTGATTATCATATTGATCCCTACGTCTGTGATTTTCGATATATGACATAAGTTAAGGTAGGTTAAATGAATATTGTATTTGGCGACGATTTTTAATCCGTCGTCCGATATGCGCTCGTTGTGGGATAGATCCAGCTCTCGTAGTCGAATGGTACAAAATTTGGCCACCGAATACAAAGATGCATTGGTCAGACTTTTCGCGTATGAAATGTCCATGGACGAAAGGTTGTGGCAGGTATAAACCAGTTCCGAGAGCGCAGCATCGGAAAGGCCGCTGATGTGAGTGAGTTTCAATGACCGAAGGTTCAAAGCGAGATCGGCAAGCCTTTTCAAGACCTTTTCATTGACATGATCACAATGCGAGAGATCCAAGGTGTGTAGCTTGGGTAAAGTCGCATATGGATGGATTTTTCGAATGGTTGCTGCTGAAAGGAAGCGAGCCTTTGGAACTCGCAACACTTGAAGCTCCGAGCAGTGTCGAACAATTGTATCAAACCAGTCTTCTGAAACGTATTCATAGAGAGTCTCCTCTATCAGAGCAAGATCAATCTCATGAATATACTTTGGCATTGACGGACGCAAAATTAACAAGCAATTTAGAAACTTGTTGAAGCAGTGCAAAGGTGAATGGGATTGGCTATCGAAATCGGGCTTTTTCCAAAGGATGGCGTTGGCTAGGCTAGATATTTCTCGATTTAACAACGCGCACTTGTATAGCTCTCTGTTACGAAGGTTAGGCATAACAAGGATCAAGGTGGCCACTGTCATGGCTGACATTTTCATGAAAGGATTCCGCAATGCATTGATATGCTCCAGGGTATATTGTACTTCCAAATCGATCAATGGCAGAGGCTCCACATCACTGCTAGTGCTCGCGCCTGCTTGCTCCGAGCTGCTAGTGTAGGGGGTTGTCAGTGATGGCATGGCGAATTGGCTGGAACTGGCCATGTTTACAGCGTGCGTACACCAAGTACAAATATACGGAAGAGCGGGTTTGCTTGAAATGTAAGCCCGTGCGCAGCGATGTTGGACCTGAGACGAGGCATTTTTTTTTCTGCTGCGAATCCGTTTACTCTGCGTGTAGAATCCCACCCCCCAAAAAAGCTATCCACCACATTGCTTCCGCAGGTAAATGACTTAGCTAACAGTTATGCTGCGTAGAAATCCTTGACAATAACTCAAATGAGCTGTCACCGAACCTTCGCACTTTTTCCCCACTGTGAAAACGTCGGGTAAATGAATCATCCAAATGAGCGGAGAGAATGCACGTCACCAGGTGACTGAGTAGAAGCACAGCGTTGATTTAAACTTGCACGTTGTGTGGAAGAGACCATCGAGAACGGAATGCCTTTAGCAGGAAGCACCTTTGTTTTTATACTCGAACAGCTAAAAGTGCTCCAAGTAAAGACATACCGAGTTGGTTACGATCACTGCCTACCGCACGTGTCTGACTTGGGAGGACCTCGTTCATTCATGACCAGTTTGGAAAGTTGGAGTGGTCCGGTGGCCAGGTGCGAGATTGGTCCCACAAACAAGATAGAGGAAAATGGCAAAAATGATCAGGGTTTAGCATTTCCTGCTGACACGTTAATTCCCTTGTATGGCATGAAGCATGCTGCGATGCGATGAGCTCAACACCGGTATCATGGGATCCAGATGACGAGAGGCGCAATACAACGCAACGCAGTGCAAATCGTAACATTGGAATAGTGCTACCTGAGTTCTGGACAATGTTGTCATAGCTCATTGCAATTTGAGATTTAGCAAGCTCTGATAGAGAACCCAAAAAGAATTTTTCCAGCACGGATTAGTATGAAACAATTTGGGATGTTTCAGTAAAGCTGTTTACCGATCAGCCATTTTTTTTTTTTTTGATAGAAAGCGGAATTTAAAGACGTTCGCTATATAACTGACGAAACTGAGCCAAGCAGGCTTTTTTTTTTTTTCTTTTTCCTTTTCCACCCCTTTCCAACCCCGTTGCGCTCAAGTCTGTGCCTACGAGGCCGCTTGGTTGCCTGCGATCCATTTCACTCGTATCGCTCTGCTCTAAAAGCCATTTTCTAAATGATAGCCGCTCCAATTGTTCAAAAGCATATTATAACACCCGATTTCATAGGTAAGTGATTGTACCTGGATGAAAATTTTAGAAGAACTCACTGTCTGACAACCCTACTTTGAATAATATTAGATTTCACAACCTCTTCATTTGATGCCATACTCCACCCAACCCAAATTGTAGATCCTCCTCCAGGACCACAACCACAGGGTACAGGCAAACTGAGAACAGAACATTTACCACATTTACTGCCTTTCGTTCGTCTCATCACTGAGAAGTGCAGTATCACACCTCTGGTTATTGTCATTGCTCTCATCTACGTCAAGCGTTTTCGAGCTACACTTCCAACAAGTATGTGGTTTTTTTTTTTATTGTTTTCATGCAATGCAGTGTATATCGTGACGAATGCTCATTCCTAAATGATGTGTAGGCTACAAAACCGAACCCAATACGGCACACCGAATTTTTATTTCAAGCATCTTGGTTGCAAGCAAATATATAGATGACGATCCCATCACTATTGGTCAGATCGTGCATGCATCTGGTGACGTTTGGACACTCAAGGAAACCGCTCGAATGGAACTGGCGTTCATGAAGTTCTTGCGTTGGAACCTATTTATTAAACAGCAAGAAATCATCAACTTCCTCAACGAGCACCGGTTTGCTGTTGACTTGGTGTTGCCTGCTGACGGTTACTGATTATCAAGCTGCTTTTTCGGACGTTGTAAATTCACGCTAAACTGGCCGGGTACCCAGGCACACCTTAACAATCGCTCTCCGCCGCATGCCCTTTCATTCAAGGATTACAGCTTTGTACAATATAAGTAATTTAATAATTTCTGATGATATCAGGAGCCAGGAGCTTTTATCAATCAGACGATCGCAGCGTAGACAAGCATATATCTTGCCGACGCTTTATCACACGTTCAGTTATGTCTTAAGCCCGACATACCGGACTACTTCCGTACATCAAAGCTTATGCCTTTGATTTACTTGCAGCATTTTCATATGCAATCTCTCCCATTTTTAAATATCTAGTTTTTTTCAGCTGCCAACTGTTTTCTCACATGTACTTCTCTAATAGAATAAACCAATGTATATTTCCTGTTAATCACTATTCTGAATGACGCGGTAAGTCTTATAGAGACTCCATGGCAACCACGAAAGCCATTCTTTTGACAGTTCAACTCATGCAAAGATATGACAAATGGGTTCGAACTGTAGATTTATTACTGACAAAACTTAAGACGGATGTCTAAACGGGTGGCCTTCGACGATCAAAGACAACCGAGTATTGAGCCGCATTTGGCAGACGTCGAAAGGACGTAAATAATATTTGCGAATTTAAAAATATTACATGTTTGGTACACATTATGACAATCCTTTCCAACTATATCATTGGCTTTCTTCGCTATCCTCTATCAAATTCATCTGACGGAAATTTTCCAAGATGTCGTAAACACTGTCATTTTGCGCTGTCTGTCTGAACGCTTTGCTTGCTTTAGCCGACTTGGATTTCTCCTTGGTCGCTTGCACTTCCTTGTCCTGGATCTCACCACTGATGATTTCCTCTGTCAATGTCTTCGTACTGAGCTTCACATTAGCAGCTTGACGTTGTTCAAATCCTACTAGCGTCATGTACACTTGGTGTCGATGGGCGTGAGACATGTGCAATTTAAGAGATACTTGAACGTGGTCGAACAGTTGAAATTTGATTGGTCTCGGAAGATCGGCAGTATTGATCGCGACATACGTCTGGTTGTCACTATCGTATGAACAATTCGTCATATAGGCGTTATCTGTTGGAAATGAAAGGGTCAGAATGATTGCGGATATGAATACGGCCATTGCTAACGACTTATTCTTACCATCACTTGAGTTACCAGAGACTATGGATAAAGGTACCATCAATTCACCAGATTTCTCTTTCAAATAGACGGGGCCTTTCAACACCAGTCTAAAATATAGGAAGGCATTGATTAGCAACTCGGCCATTGAATACTTAGCTCCAACTCACTCAATTACCTTGGAACATAAACAAAGAAGCCGTTTGATCGAATTTCCGAAATGATACCGCTCATTATGATAGGTCCATTTTTAAGCTGTCGAGTTGGTCAATTTAATGTGTTGTTGAAATTCATGAGAAAAAAAAAACTTGCGTAAACAATTACCTGCTGAAGCACATAAAGACTCTGGAACAGCTCGGCTGAATCCTATATGTTGAAAAGGTGAAACTACATCAGCTGAAAGCCATTTTGGATACTCAATGTGGATGTCTCAGCTTACCCTTTGAGCTAGTTTTGACTCACGCGTCTTCAAGTTGAGATTTAAGCAAAGATTAACCAGCTTGGAATTGCTATGTAGCAAACTTGGTGTCGCAGGCGATGGGCTGACTGACGTTTCCGAAACACATTCCATCAATTGCCGGTGCACAATAACATCAGCGTAACGACGAATTGGGGACTGGGAAGCAAGGATGAGATGATGATACAATCCAAGTCCTCAATGATAGGATGCTTACCGTGAAATGGGTATAGTAGGGAAGGGCCAATCCATAGTGATAATAGTGGTCCACAGATGTGTTTCCTGAAGAAATATATCTGTAGATGTCTTAGCTTTGTACTAGATTTTTACCATCATGGCCAGCAGAATAACCTACCCAGCTTCGTTCATTGCCATTGTTGCCATGGTCTTCAATAGGCTAACTAAGGCAGGATCATCAGAGCTTTGATCAGCGATGCGTTCCAATGAGTGCGCCAAAGTTTTGTTAGATGTGTAGTCGATTTGGTATCCTCTTGTTGCAGCAGCTTGCTCAAGTAACTTGAATCGTTCCTTGGTGGGAGGTGGATGGTGACGAAGCAAAGCTGAATCCTTGAAACGCTGATGGATCCTTTCCGCTACGGACGCATTGGCCATAATCATAGCCTCTGCCACTATCTCATGAACTTCCAGCTCCTTCTTTGGGATGATGTCCGTGATGTTGTGCTCGCTAGCAATTTGAAATTTGACTTCTGAACTTTCCAACTCCAAGGCACCTTTTCCCAACCGTCGTTCCTGATTTGCAAGAACATGTCAGAACGTATATACAAATATATGAAGTAATCTTAAAAAGCATACCCGAACGACTCGCAAGATATCTACTAATTTGACCACGGACTTCTTGAGTTTTTGAGCAGTTTTCTTATCCAAACCTTTAACTGTATCGGCTCCATTAAATAATTCTTGCGCCTGCTCATACTCCATCTCACAGGCTGATCTGATAACAGATCGTCCAAACCAGGTATCTACCACTTTGTAATTCTTATCTAACGTCCAGATCACAGAAACTATGAGGCAATAGGTCCGCGTGAATCAGTAACCCAAGCAGTACCATGTGGAAGCTGTAGCACTTTCATCAACTTACCTGCAAACCGATCTACCCTATGACGCAAAGAGCACACCCTTTCACTAAGTACGCTGGGCAACATGTCGAAGCGTCTATCAGCTAGGTATACAGTGGTTCCTCTGCGAGTCGATGTATCATAGGCTTTGTTAGAAAAGTTTCAGTAGCTTGATTGAATAGATTGATATTCATACCTTGCCCTGGCTTCCAAATCAGTATGGCAATTCTCCTTTACAAAGTACGACACATCAGCAATGTGCACACCAAGTTCTATGCGGCCATCACCGAGTTCGTTTACAGATAATGCATCTGTAGAGGCAACGATGTTAGCTTGTAATAATTTGACGCATAATACCTTCTGCTACAAACCATCAATATCTTGGCAATTAGGGGGATCGATGCTATTGAAATTTTGATTAGCATTACTGGCATGCGCTATATCTCCTTCTACGATCACAACTAACCTGAAAATATCTATGTTTCGAAGATCTCTACGAGTGGAGAGTTCCTCCTGTGATAAACAATGTTAGTTATGTCAAGGAAACACGCAACGTCGTAAATAAGCACTCACATCCGTCGGTCGCCAAGGAGTTTCTGGTGTATCAATTGGCATTTCCCTCATACATGCTTCACCGAACCCTCTTGATGCTTGAGATTCTGGAATTCCATGCTCAACCAATATGGCGGATATTTCAGTGTCCAGCTGATGTATTGGTCCTGCGAGTAAGACAGATATAAATGAAACGTCATTGTTATACATCGTACAACTTTAGCGATAGTTAATACCTAAGGACCGAACAAAATGACCATTTGGGTACTGAGATGAGACAGGCCTAGAAGACAAACATTATGAATATTATGTTGTATACCCAAAGCTGTATTGTGTTGATAGTATTACCAGCTGTCAATTCGTACGACAATACGTTGATTGCCTATGGATTTCACATCCTGATGCCGTATACGTATTTTTGGGATGACTGGATGGAGAGGGATCGCCAAATGCATAGAGCCTCCTTGTTCTATGCCATCTTCCTGGATAGTAGCCACATATGATCTCCAATTTCTTTGCATGATGCCTACTACCCGACCCATCGGTCGTCTTTTAGTGGAATTCGGCTCTACAGAAGCTTGGTACCCAAGTTCTAAAGATTGAACAATCAGCATACATAACTCATACGGCTTGAAGAAAAATCATGGACCAAAACTACCTTCGTCATCATTTCCATCATATGAAATGCCAAAGGAGGGAGTCGCTTGGTTGACTTCAGACAATAGTTCGACCACAACAGTGTCACCTTGAACTATTTCAAAAATCAAGAAAAAAAAAATGAGACAATTATTCATTGCAGAAGATACCTATTTTCATGAAGTTGACGTAGCATACCAGCTCTATTCCTGTCTTCGTTCCCTACGATCATAACGTCGCCTAATGGGCTATTGTTATTGGTGACGAACGCTTGATCCCTGTTGCTCGCATTGATTCTTATGATTCCAGATATATAGCGGTTGGATTTTATACCAGCTTCTAAATCAGCTGAAGACCTGTACTGTTGATGCTAATTGCATTAGCATAACATGATAGGCAATCGATGGTTTGCACCTGCTTTACAAACCTCTGTATATCCAGCCACTGGTCGTCCTTTCTTACTGTCGGTGCTGCTGAAGAGTCGTATGGTGTCTAGATCCTCTTCAATTTCTGCCTCTTTAAGTACTTCTCTAAGGTTTTGTAAAGTAGTATGTTCCGGCCACATCTCTTTCAAATATTGCTCGACAGAATATACATCTACGCCTCGTGATGAGCTACTTGTAAATAGCTCTGACAGAATAATGATACGCTTTCCGGTATGGTGGTGATACCACTCTGCAAGTTTTCGCAACGCACGTTCTTCGCGGTGTAATGACGATTCTCCCGGCAAACGTGAGACGTGGGTATCAGAGCATATCTCATTGTAGAACACAATGCTGTTCCTTCTTGGATCACCAACAACCTGACGTAGCCTTTTGTACGTACGAGTTTTGTCGTGCTGCTGTAACTGGTTTCCGAGTCTGATTAGCGCCTTTTCCTTCGGATATAGGTAACTCGAAGTTACTTACTGACAACATCACGGTCTGCGGAACAATGATATTTCTAAGTTCTTCCTGTTCCAGGATCTCAAGGTACCGAATCGCCACCTATACGTTCATAGTCAGTACAGCTCTTTAAAATGCTATTAGATCTTGTATCACGAAAGTACTTGCAGATATATCAGGAACAACGTAGTGTGTTGCGGCTCCAGTCAACAACGCAGAACTGGTTGGGGTCGCCTCCTGGCAGCTCGGCGCACTTTTGCAAGCCTCCGATTGACAAGGGATATCGTCTCTAATATAACCTGCTCAAGCGTTAGTTTCAAAGAATAACATTTGATCTGATTGCGGATCTGCAAAATGTAGTACATACGCTCTCGAACGAGCTTCACGATGGAATTGTTACGAGTCTTTCGGTAAAATTCGTGACCAGTACGTTGCATTGATGAAGGCATTTGTGTTTTCTTTATATTATATTACAGAGAGGGAGGTATGCGTGGATGTACAAATTATGCAATTATTAAAGCAAGTGAAGCTGAAGTGAATGAGTACTGGGGGGTTTTGAATGAGCTGAGGATGAAAAAAGCAAACGCAAATTGTGAGGTCTATCAGTTGTCTTCCCTGATATTCGGTTTGGTTCCATTCTGCTTCAAGCGTTTTAGCTCTTGTGAAGAAGGGAATTCGACGTCCCAATAACCTGGTGGAGTGAGTGGTCGTTTGTATACTTCGCGATGGCGAGAGTTTTGCTTGATACGTTCAGAGGCATGCCGCAATTTGTTTGGTTCTTCAACATCAGGTAGCGTTCCTACTGCGCGATAATACTGAACAAGCCAGAGGAAAATAAAAAGAAAGAAAGAAAATTAGTTAATTTCAATCCTTTTTGCTAGTTCAAATTGACTCATCATTTCATTCTCACCTCTGAACAACACGCACATGCTGTACCGTGCATTTTTGTTCTTTCGTACTTGTTGCGAACGACATCGACATATGCAAATTCACATTGTGGCGATACATCTTGATGAGTACTATTGCAAGGAATACTATTTTCATCGACTCTGTCATCCTCTGCCATATACGTTGCCGTATGGTCATGAATTGGCGACGTCTGATTGTTGTTAAGCGAAAATTTGTTCTGAAGAGCTGATCGTTCGCATGTATCGTAAGCAGATAACGTCGTTGCATATTCATTTTGGCTGCCATCTTCGTTGTCCTGTACATCATAGTTTTTGCCATCTACTTCTTGCATTTTTTCGGATGTATTAGGCAAATCTTCATATGCTGGCTGTATCGATGCCGTCGCTAGCAATGTTTCAAATGGCTGCGACTTCGGCTGATTAAGTGCGAATGCTATGATTTGTGTCTGCTGTAAATCCAAGTCTCGGTCTTCGCCTATAATTTTTCTATTATATGCTCTCAGACTAGGAGATGGATGCTCAGTATAACTATATGTATCTCCATGTTGTTCAGTCGGTCTTGGTCTCCGCGGAGCTTTTACAGCTTCCAGTACTTGACTATTTTGCACTTTTCTTGTTTGAGGTGTAGTAAATAAGACGCTAGAGAGAATATCAGTCGTTACATCGGATAAAGCCGACTGAGGTTGGCCGTTTCCCGGAGAAGATGGGTTTGCATGCATGTGGTCTTGAGATGACTGCTGCTCCTGATGGCGGCTGCACTCGTTGTCTTCAAGATTCAATTCGATTGATGTTCTGGAACTAAGCTCTCCCTCATACGCGTCATCAAAGGTTGTTGAATTGCCAGATGGTACTGCATCATGAGCAGGTGAGGGTGTCGTATGTGTTTTTTGTCGCGTCGATAATCTAGGAAGAATTTTTCGTCAAAACCATCCTGAGACCATGCGTCGCGTAACACGACCCTGAAAGCTTACGCTGCTCTGAGTCGTTCAATGATTCTATCACGATGCTTCAAGTCATTTTTATACTCTACACGTTATAGAATAAGTTAAAACGTGTCTATAATTCGATTAACTAATATCAAAGCACTATAGCTTACGCTCTATCTGAGTTTTGTATATTTTCTTCTCGATCCTTTCACGTTTTAAGGCGCCTTGCAAATCTAGAGGGAATCCATGTTAACATAATGCAGAATGGCCGGGTGAAAAGCTTCGTATATCTACCCTTAATCGTCTCGTCGGAAGTCATCCCCAACACCTGTAGATTGGATTTGCGCTGTAGGGAAGTTTATCGAATCTGTTGCTGTAGGGAAGTAGCCAAACCAAACGCGCGCGTCTACTTTTTTTTTTTTTGGGTAGCGCGCGCGTCTTACTTTTAGCGTCGGAGTTACTTTCACTTGTCAAGTCACAAAACCTTGGTGACAGAGATCTCACACCACTTCATACCCCCTCCCTCCAATGTCAGAGCTATCATACATTCCATACACCTCAGAACGGCAGCTCCCACCTATCATAACGCTTATAGAAAATGATCTATCAGAGCCCTACTCAATCTATACATATCGATACTTCATTCACAACTGGCCCAACCTCTGCTTTATGGTAAGATGTATAACCCATTATTCCCATTGATCCTACATTCCAACGACTTTGACGCCGAAAAAAAGCGTCTTGTGTTCTTTCATTGTTTAGTACTACTTTTTGCTATATTTTTACGCAAACGACAATTTGTTGGTCACTATCATGACTTCTACCCGTTTTCGCCGCTTCAACTTGCGCACGTTTTATTCCATCATACATCTACGCATTTGCTAACACCTCCTTTCTCACTAGGCTATGGATGGAGAACAATGTGTGGGTGTTATAATATGCAAATTGGACAAACATAGAGAAGCACTACGAGGATATATTGCTATGCTGGCCGTAGCGAAGGAGTATCGTAAACGAAAAATTGGAACCACCCTTGTGCAGAAGTCAATACTAGCCATGAAGGAGCAAAATGCTGATGAGGTATGTTCGATACAAAGATAAGCAGCTGTAATAACATCAAGGGTCTGATGCAAATTGTCAGACGATGTATTATCGCTCTCCTACTAAATTCATATTAATGCAACCTTTTAGGTCGTTCTGGAAACTGAATATACCAACGCAGGAGCGCTAAGTCTATACCAACATCTTGGTTTTATTCGAGACAAGAGATTGTATCGGTACTATCTTAACGGTGTAGATGCTTTTCGTTTGAAGCTGTTTTGTCGCACCATGGTAAAGAACTGATTGGGCGGGCGGTAAAAATTAGAATTACGTGAACTGGCTATTAGACCAAGCCACTTTTCAATGCTTATTCTCTCACGCTTCTTGTGGTAATGGAAGATTATGAAGACCATTCAGAAGATAATAAAAGAAAAAGAATACGAGCGACTCAGGCCTGTATACCTTGTCGTAAAAAGAAGGTGCGTCCCACCGCCAGCAGTCGACTTCAGCACCGGCTGGTAACTGCGGTATTACAACTAAGCTGACCCATTCTCTGATATAGATCAAATGCGACGGCCGAAAACCAAATTGCTTACATTGTGAACAATACAATGTGACATGCATCTTTGCTGAATCTAGAAAGCGTGGGCCACGTAAAGGCTATGTCCAGCAACTGGAAGAAAGAGTAGCACAACTGAAGCAGCGCTTAAAGGAAGTGGGGGAAGACGTACCTTCTACTCCTCCCGACATGGTGCAGTCCGGCTCTATCGGCGGCCGTGCTTCTCTTGAGCCAGAAGATCTCAAAATGGCGTTACTACACTCGAGAGAATCGTCCATTCCAAAGACTCCCAGACCATTGAACGACAGTCTAAACGAGTTTCCTGCACGAGACCTAACATTAGACCTGGTGGGTCTGTTTTTCACCAACCCAAATGCCACTTTCCCACTTATACACAAAGGAATGTTCATGGAGAGTGTGTACAGAGGGGAAATCTTCAACGGTTTGCTTTGGGCAGTTCTGGCTGTTGCTGCTAGGTGAGTGACGTTAAGCTAATGATGATGGTATGATAAGAGACTCTGCATTCTAATGTATGTACTGTGGCCTCAAAGATTTTCAGACGACAGTAGGGTCACGACAAATCCACCTCACCTAGCAGGTGACAAGTTTGCATCGAAAGCCATCGCGTGCATCGATGCCAACACATTCGAACCTACACTATACAATCTTCAGTTCTGGGGCATTATGAGCGCATACGAATACGGCAGAGCCAGCGGTGCGCGTGCGTGGATGTACGGAGGAATGGCGATAAGGCAAGTTTCTCGAAAATATTTGATTGATTGATATAAATGGAACAAATGCTTATATGTTATCAATGTAGAATAAGCTTAGAACTCGGCTTGAACAAAGAAGAAACGCTCAGCGAACCGATGCGGGCGCCAGACGGGAAAGTGGATGAATTGGCGATGGCACTACGACGTCGCATATTTTGGAGCACATACAGCATTGACAAGTACGTATGAAAAGCAGAAGCTTCGATTTTACCCAAAGACACTAAACCTTCCATATCATCAGATTCTGTAGCGCTGGTACAAATCGACCACAGTCATTAGAAGAAGGTGACTGCGACTCCAAGTATCCGACTATTGCTGAGTCCTTGATTCTTTTGGAAATTCCAACATCCTTGAGCGAAGCTGCTGCCAAAGATACCCTTGTCGACATTCCTGCTGTGCATTTAACTGTCGTACGAATCTTTGGAGAAATTAACAAGTATATGAACAGAGCAAAACCCGTTCATGGGCAAGCCATCAGCTGGCCGCCTATCCCTCAATTCCGAGAATTGGATAATCAACTTAGGAGCTGGAGAGCAGAAATACCAGAACGATTTCACTTCAATCCTAGTAACCTAGCGCGACATCGCGCCACTACCAGTAAACATTACATGTATTTGTGGCTATCAGCACATATGCTCTGGGCCACAAGTGCTTTGGTTTTGCATCGTGCCAGTCTTGCATTCACTGGAAATGACCTCAATAGACTTGCGGGCGACCCATATACAATTGCCCGTGATATTGAGAGCAGCACGTTACTTTGTAAGGAAGCTGTGGACCTGGTCATGGACGTGTTTCAAATTATAACGGATGAATGCGGTCGCAATATATTACCTTTCATATGCTACACAGCATACACGGTTGCTACAACACTGATGACAAGTCGAGCTAACGAACTGGCCGCCTCTCAAAGAAGCAATAAGAGATTGTCGATCCTTTATAAAGTGATGGCGGTATGTGATTGTTTTAAGGTTATAGGACGCAACTTACTCTACTCGAAAATGGATTTTTGACTTTTTTTTTTCTTACTAGCATATGGAACCTTATTGGCCAATGTGTGCCAGAGTAGCAGCAACTACAAAGCAACTTCATAATGCCCATAGTCGGATGTATGTCATCAGTCCAGAGACTGAACTATTCGATGATCGAAAATACGACCAGGCAACTGCTCATCAATTCTCTCCTCACGTTCCGCAAACCTACCGCAAAGACAAAGCAATAGCTACCTCACCTGTCATAAATGACCAGTCAAACCCCCCACCAGTGAAAAAGAAGAAGAAGTCTCGTAATACATCTACCGATGCTGCTGCCGCCGTTGCCCCCGCCCCCACGTACACTATAGAACTTCAACCGTCTCTTGTGCCTGCGTTGAATAATTCCCCTGAAAATAATAATGTCCATGGTGGCTACCATACGTCAGAACAGCACGCTTTGCCGGTCGAAGCATCTATACCTCTGGCGCCATGGATGAACAGTAATACAGATTTTAATAGCCTGGACTTTTTGTTTGATGGCACCCTCTTTGGACAAATGATATTTGACGCTCAGAGGATGCCGCCTCCAGGCATCGGGGAGCCCACTGGTCTGGATACGCATCTTTTCAATGGACCATTGGCCAATACTTCGGATGGTTTTGCAAACTACAAACCTGTATGGGATGTTGAGCATTAAATATATTCTTTTAACTATTCTTTTTCAAAACCAATATGTATAGTCTTCTCTTCATAGCACCGCCATCCGTTTGATAGCATTAAACCAAGTAGATATTGTCTAAATGTGATTTTTTTAACTGATTTATTTGGGTGAAAAGTGTCTAATACGCCGGCCACCAAAAAAGGAATTCCATTTATATTTTTTATAGGAAAAAACTACTTCTTTACAAACACTCTTTTTCTCCGTTTACTGGTTCTCCATCTCCTTGGCAAGCTCCTCAGCGCGCTTGACGACATCGGCAACAGAACCTTGCATATAGAAAGCAGATTCGGGGAGGGAATCGTACTTGCCCTCAAGAATTTCCTTGAAGGAACGGATGGTGTCCTGGAGGGGAACGAGACGACCCTCATAACCAGTGAAGACTTGAGCGACAGCGAAAGGCTGGGACAAGAAACGTTGGATCTTACGGGCACGCTCGACAGTCAACTTGTCTTCTTCGGACAATTCGTCCATACCAAGAATGGCAATGATATCTTGGAGAGACTTGTAGTTCTG